CAAAAATTTGCTATTTTTGTGTTAAAATTCTGGGTTTTGTATTTTATTTTATTTTAAAATACCTGACAAGGGGAGTGCAGATTTTCATAAATATTATATAAATAAAAAATTAATATAGCATAGAAAGTTAATCTTATTTAAATTTGTTTGCTTCTTTAATGTCGAGAAAAATAACTTTGAAATTTGATTTAGCTCAAATAGCCAATTTTTTCATCCGACGGTAACAACGTACGGTTGCCGAGTTGATAAAACTCATGTTTTACACGTTTGGGGTACGAGGTTCTAACCCACTNGCGCGCTTGGGGTACAAATTTCCAACCCGCATGTGGCAAGGAATTTTTTGCATTATTTTCTTAATTCTTTTTAAGTTAGAATAAATTTTCAACTGCTTTGATTTTTATCTCATTTAGATTCATNCTCGTTTGATTTTTATCACATTTAGATTCAATAACTTCAATAAAGATCAAGGATCCCATCACTGTAGTCGCCACTCGCGAGAAGAAATTTCTTATTCATATTAAAATTATTTTAAGTTTTAGCTTCATTGCAAAGCTGAGAAGATATTTTTTTATAACTATCATTTATTTTTTCTGCTCTAACTTAAACCTACTTTTNTATCATTTATTTTCTCTGCTCTAACTTGACCTTTTTTCAACGATACGTCAAATGACTACAATTCGTATCTAGTTGAAGATATTACCCTCAAAAATTGAAAAAAATATTCTAATTTATCAATTAAACAGTTACTTGTCCCATGTTCTCCATACAGACAATCAAAATCATTCATTTCTAATGTTTTCAACGTATTTATTGACGAATCATGTTTGTACAATAGGTTTCAACTACAAAACTAAATCATTTTACTTTGTAATTTAATAATATTTTTACTCTATTTGTGTGTGCTACTACTAGACAATAATATTACAATTTTTTTTGTAACATGTTGCTATATAAATAATTTCTAAAAAAAATGATTGTTTTTTCTCTTGAATTAACAATTGATTTTTACAAATATAATCAAATTTTATAATACACTCAATTGAGTAAATCTTTTTAACAACTTTGTTTTGATTGGTACATTTAGTTAAAGTAAATCATTAAAATTAATTAAGTTCTCAATATTTCAATTGTAGAATCTTTTCTACAAACAACAAAAGTTACTAGGAAATTATTACTATTACTTCTATTTAAGTTATCTATTACCATAAAAATGCAAAAAAATATTGAGCTTTTCTGATAAATTTACAATAAATAGTAATTATAAAACTTTCTGACTGCATATTGATCTTAACGATACAATTTTTTTGATTGTCATAAAATTTTCTATTTATAGATGTCAATGTCAAACTTACCAATTGAGCTAAAAGTTATGGTAAAATAAATTTTTTTTATTATAAACATTTACAACAATCAACTTTAAACGATTAAAAAAATAGGTTAAATATGTCATTTTCCTTATTTTTAACTTATTAATAATCAAAATCAGTATTAATTTAAAACAATTTTTTTTGTTCTTAATTATTTTTTTTTATATGTAAATACTATTTTTTAATAATATTAAATTGCACATTTGAAAACATAAGTCTAATTGCACATTTTAAAACATCGCGAAAAGTTGATTTAGAATAGTATATTTTTGTTTCTGATGGAAGTTCCTTGTAGTCCAGTGTATAAAACTTATAACTTTGTTAATTGTTATAACTTTATCAAAAATGACCAAATCAGTATATTTTTTT